GAGCCAATTTCTAATCTTCAAATCGTAGTAAGCTTGTCAAGGGCTGCTTGACTTCTCCAAGGTTGTTTTCGGACATGCGTTTGTTCCAATGGATTTAATAAATATAGTGAATTCTTTATCCTCAAGAGCACGCGTGTTCACAGTCAAGTGGAATTTTGTAGCATTTTGAAAAATAGACAAAGAAATATAACTTGTTTGGATAAATATCTCTTGTGTACCATTTGAAATTACTAGCAAGATTTTTCTATGATCTTCTTAAAAAATAACAACCTTACCTCCGAAAGGAAGGTTACAATCAATTATATCTTGTAAGCAGCCGTCTATGGTCTCAAGTAATTCGCGTTGAACTTTTGAAACTCTATCCCAAATGATAATTAATGTTTCTCTCAAATGATTTACAAGGTGTGACTATTTAGATAAATTACAACAATTTTTGTCTGACAAGTCAAACGAAAGTTTAAATTTTGAATGTGTTGTTTGTCATTTGGAAGCAAAGTTGCCACTCCCAAGTTGCAACAACGATATCTACAATGTCAACAAATTATTTAATAATGTACACACCTATTTTCTTTCATAACTTTTTATTTCTCATAAATAGCAGTTATTAAGTATTGACAAGTAAACTGAATGCAGGACATCCTAAAAATAAGAGAATGAAGGATGTGTAGATATTTTCGGAAGGATGGACGAGGTAGGTCCTTTAGAAATTCACTGCATAGAGCAAGTTCTTTTTTCCCAAAAATTTGCTTTATGACGCGAGGATAAAGATATTGAATTAGAAGTATTCAAACGCTATTATATTAAACCTGCTCAGAACTACCGATTTTAAAATAAGAAGTTAAATAAGTAAGATAAAATGTGAGCTGATAAAGTGAGCTTTTACTGCTCAGAGTACGAGTTTCTACACCAGCACAACTCTTCTTATTTCGAGATAATTGTATTTCGAGATGTATATTATTTTTTATCTACAATTTAACCAAAATATTTTTTTTCCTTTTACTCTATTATCTATTATTTTAATAATCATACGGTGGAAAGCAAAAGAAACAAAAATAACTATAAAAAGTGCATTACTTACTTTCATTTTATATTTCGTAAAAAAAAAAACAAAAACAAACAAACAAAAAAAGCTATTCTTCCTCATAATTTTTTTTTCAAAATAGAAATCTTATACCTAATAAAAAATAAATAAATTTCAATAAAAATAAATGTAATTATTTTATATAAAATACACGTAGGTGTGTTTGTTCAGGGGATTTTCCCTAAAATTATTATTCATCAAAAATAATTTTTTCAAAAAACATCATATCAAATATTTATTTTTTATTTTTTTATACTATACTAAAAATTAATTTTACATTCAAAATGTCATATCAACACCTATTTATGTCACATCATACAACTATTTCAATTCAAATTTTTTATTATTCAAATCTCAACTCAAAATAGTAGTTAATCCCAACTCAAAATTCAAATCCTAAAACTAACACATCCGTGATATCATTATATAATAGAACTAATAAATTTAATAATATTGTGTAAAATAATATTCCACTATAATAAAATAAATAATTATATCTATTAAATTTTGGGAGAGTTGTATTAAAATCTCTGTCAGAGAAACTCAATTGTAATTCAGTCCATATTAAAAATCAATTAGACTGCAGTTCCAACTTTATGAATTAGGTTTAATATAGCTCCCCAATTTGTATTTCTCTCATAATCACCGTTGTATACGCAAAAGGTACTCAAAATAAATTGATCAATACTTCTTGTGTAGTAATGTATACCTACATTACTTCCCGCTCTACCCCCATTATAACCTTATATGTTCCTAGTTAAATATCGCGTACCTTTTTTTGTGAATTAAAAAAATAGTAAAAAACGGCAGTTACCCACGATTTAACAGGAGTTGAGGCAAAAAAACCTCCCATAACTCCCTCCACCCCGATTTTAAACCCTACCTTTTCCATCTTCAGGCTAATTGATTTTCTCCAAACCCCAAAAATCAAGTAACGATCAATCGGTGCAAAAATAGTGAAGAAAACAGCTGATCTACTCTCATCCCCAGGACAAGCTCGAAAAAATAAGACCTTTTTCGATTTTTTATTTTCTTGACATTATTTGTATTTTATATAGTCGTTTGTTTGATTGTTTGGGATATAAGTCTTGGTCCCGTGTTTGTATGTCTCAATAGGTTCAGTGTTGAGGAGCCTTGGGTGATCGGTGTATTTGTATTTGTATTTGTTAACTGGATTTGAAATTGTTCGTATGTTTTCCCACATAGACCGAGTTGGGTGTTTAATTTTGGTACCAATTTTGGATAATTTAGTTGTTTAATCTGTAATTTTTGTTAATTTTGTAGATATCCAGTTTGTATAATTACCTGGAGTTTAGTATTTTAGTTTTTTGTTTGATAGTTCGGTAATTAGTTATGTTTGTGAGTTGGTAAATGTGGTATTGTTAGGTACCCCGAGTTGCATTTTTTAGGTCTAGTTTTCTAAATAATATAATTTTAGAGGACTACTGTGTACTCGGAATGTGTTGTTACGTATTTCTAATAGATTATGACAAAGTTTTAAATAAATTTGAGATTAGGGTAATGTAAATTGATGGTATTTATGTACAGATTGGATAAGGAATACAAATCGGTTATCAGTCGATTTTCAGTACCGTTTGGTGTGTATGTTTTCCGGGTCACGCGAATCCGACAGTATCGACAATGAGTTTGATAATGTGAAGAGCTACCGCAGTAAAAAATTAAGGCCAGAATACTGAAAGGTCTGCTTTCCGAACCGTAGACTTTAATGTGCAGCACAGGGTAAGTGAATGTTGTATTGAATTTGGATTGTCTTATTTGTGCTTGATTTGGGTAGTGTGTTATTTTGATTGAATTTTCGGTTGAATTGGTTTGATTTGTCTCATGTTTGATGAAATTGTGTTAAGATTGATTGAGAGAATGAATCGTAGGTTAAATTTGGTGAAATTTAATTTTTGGAGTAATGCTATGAATTTTGTCGTGAATGATTGTATGATAAATTTGGTTAAATTGGAATTAACTAATTCACTACAAGACATTCCAATAGTTGAGGTAATGCCTGCAATGTACATAAGTGCATTTACGGATGCCTGACTACATTAGTGGTGCACCTAAGAAAGAAAAGCATATGCATGTACTACAAAGGTTTATGCCATCATCACATTGATACGTACTTCATGTCAAAACACGATACGCCTCGGTTATTTAATGACATACCTATATTAAGCTAGTAAATACCCCAAGGTAAGTTACTTATGCCCAGGGGGTCTAAAACTTCATATCTCGATCATTAAGTGAAGTATAACATTATCTTTAATAGTACCCGTACATGAGATGTATTCATCTTTAACATAGTTAGTTATAACAATCTAGAAGATTAAAAAATTGCTTAGAAAAGTTAAGAATATGATCCATATGCGTGAACAATAAGAAATGAAGTTACTTAGTTGTATTGTTGGTAATGGTAGTGCTTAGTTTTACTACATATGCAATGGTTGTACAGTTTAACAATGAGGAGTATTAATATACTAATACTTTATCCAATTGCATTCACAATAATAAATTTAAAAAACTATGGAAACATTATAATATTATAACATGTCATTCCTTTACACAGGTTAGCATCAACGGATATCTCAGTCGTTTACCAATAAACCCTGGAATTAGTTTCTCATATGCTTCCATAACTAGTATCTATGCCCTGAAAACCTGTGCTTGGGAAACAAACTATTTTCGGTTCAAAACATTCAATAATTGTCTGTAATCAGGGATAAATTCATCATATAGTATTTATGTGAATTCCATAATTGTATGTAAATGTAAATAACACATATATATAATGGATAGCTAAATAAGTCATAAATGACTTAGTTAAATCATATTTTTTTGTTACTCCTACATGTTTTGTGGTCTTGCTATTGAAAAGTATGGCATGAACTATCGAATATAAATGTACCATGCCTAATTTTTTCCAACAAGACTAGGAGATGAAGTACTCTCACCGAGTTTGTGAATTGTCCCCTCCGTCAGCGGGTCAACTGAAATCAACCACATTCACGGATATCTGCTACTACACAGATAATACCTAAACAATCATTATTCATACCTTAAGTGTCAGTGTTCGTACCCAAAGCACATTGTTACATACCTGCATAAAATACCGACATACCCTGTCACAAATCTTACGTACTTATAATACTGGTATCATATGCTTCTGTAACGAGTATATATACTCTGATAATCTGTGCTTGGAAAACAGACAATTTTTTTGATCAAAATATTCACTTATTTTCGGTAACAAATGATGAATTCATCGTGATAGTATTCCCGTGACACCCTGAATATTATGAAAAGATAAATAACATATATTTACTATAGATGACTGAACAAGTGAGAAATAACTTAGTTATATTGTATGGTATATGTACAATTATAATCCAACATCCACTTGTAGATGACTAAATAAGTCATAAATAACTAAGTTAAATTATATTAGTTGTTTGAGTAAATAATTACTACCATGAATTGAAAATCTTTAGACCTATTACATAGTAATCTACATCATAACAGACACAACAACATTCAAGTGAAAGTGCGTTGTAATCTACTACTAGGACTTCATGTGCTTTTGTATAATAGAACAAACATAACTTTTCTAAAGTATTTTGACCGATAATAATCCAAATTGTCACACACTCACAAACTCAAATATCAATCAGTTAGAAGCATTTCAAAAAATTGTGACTCGGTTGAGCAGGCACGTACTCCAACACAGCTCCAATGTACCTCTTTTATATTTTCAGAAATGTCTATTGTCAACAAGTCATATATAAGAAACAATCATCATACCTGTAAGTTTCGTAAATCTAATATAATACATCATATTTACAAAAGAGCTTCAATGAAACAACAATTTTATTGTTTTATATTTACGTACAATATTACATTATGTTTAGCACGTCAAAAGTAATTACAAGAAAATGATTGACGGACATCCTAATTACATCTTTAAATATCTACGACAATTGAGCCACAGACCAAATTGGGTACTTCTGCAGCTGCAATTAAGATATTAGCTTCATGGTAAATTTGTTCTGGATTTTTTGTAGTGGATGAAGAATAGTCACTTTCGCATGATATTTCTGCCAATAAATGGATAAAATATTGATGTTCAGCAAGTTAGGAAAAAAATATGTGATTATATAATTAAATGCACAATTAGAGTGCATGAACATAATATCTTTACACACTAATCTAAATCTACTAGACTAAGATCAATTATAATTATATATATATCAATTCCTGAAGAAGTAAGGTTGCAGGCAATCCAACAATGTTACTTATATCAATCACCATAATATTTTTTCCCAGAATATCAACACCAAACTGCAGAAGAAACTCAATGCAATCTTTAGGAGTACATGATATAAAAAACATTTTTTATTAATTTACTATATGATAAACTTAATCATTTACTTTATGAACTCATTCTTGAACTACACAATATGAACTTTCCTTCACCTCATTTCCAATTCGTTGTCATCCATCATCTATAATTAGAAAACACAGAGACTCCATCAATCAAACTGCTTCCATATAAATAAATAGTTCCACAAACTATTTGCATTAATTTTTTTTCATTCACCATACAAAGATTGTGTATTTAAAAATGATAACCAAAACAGTACATTTTGATTCAATCTTCTACACTCTCAATTGTAACAATAATGTGAAAAACATCTTATGTGCACCAATCAAATCAGTCCAAAAAAGCAACAACCTACACAGTTAATGGTGGGGGATGGTGTACATACATATCAGCATAAACATGAATATTTTAGAATGCATCCTACTTCAATTCAAAATGAAATCAGACGCATGTTTCTCAATTTTCATTTTTTTCTTCTCACGGTACTGAAATGTTTGTAAATGTTTATCAATAGTTATGTTTCACCCAAATAAAAATAGAATACTGAATCCCGTAGGTTCCCTTGCATTTTTATATATACAAATAATACATTTAACAAAATATGTATTCTCCACGTATTGACGATATCATCATCGCATAATAATGTCACATAGCTTTTCTAAGTAAGTGCAATATATTGGATTTTTATTGTCTCAATACTTACCTTATTCCCTTTTTTTGATAGATTCATGTAAAGATCCGCCAACATTGTGCCATCTTCTACACCAATTACATGATGCTCACCTTCATACGAACAAATGATATATAATATCAAACTACTTTGCTCTCTGTCCGTCGGAACCTATCAATCCAACAGATGTATTGACTATCTTAAGTCATATAAGCGATTCAACAATCTTACACAGAATACAGTAAACTTATATGAATTCTAGTATGTATGAATCTCCAATAGCAACAAATACCCAATTCACAAAATAACAATTGCAATCTACTTCACAAAAGAGTAACAAAAATACCAAACAACAACATAATTCAATATCAAAATCACCTAAGAAATACCAAATATTTTCCCCAAAATAACAATTTCCTTACTAACTCAAATGCTACCGATACAAATACAAACCTAGCAAATATTTAATTCTAATTTCACCGGTGAACAAAGACCACCAGCCACTACGGAGGACGATCAAGGATGGCGATCGTGGACCCGGGCCAACCAGAGAGTGGTGTCAATTTGGAGATCGACGGTGACAGCTCTCGGAAGTTCTTCAATCGAATCGTGCGACCGCCAACAATAGAGAATCAGAATCAGTAACTGCCCTTGGGAGTTTTTAAACAGAATCGAACAACAAACGATGACACAAAACCGGCAAGACAATGGAAGAATGGGAGAGAAATGAAATTTTCACACGGCTAAAAGCTGGGCGATCGGACGGGAAGTCGTTTCCGATCTGATGTGAGAGAGCTTAACGGGTATAGGAGAAATATCGCGCGAACAAGAAAAAGAAAAAATCAAAAAGGGGAATGAGAGAAAGAAATCGATTATAGAGAGCGAGAAGAACGAAGATTGGTAAAGGAGGGAGTTCAGATAAATGGTTTATAAATAGGGACTGAATCTCAACGCAGATGGATTTAATCCCAATTGTGCGTTAAATTTTTAGTACAATAAATAAAGATGAAAATAAATAATAAGAAAAGGGGTATTTATGTAATTTTATGTAACCATTTATAGTTAAGGCATACATATTAAGTAAGTATTGATATTGATATATATACTTATATATCTTTTAAAACATATTATATATTATTATATATTTTATTATCTATCTATTTATATACGTTTGCATATATGTATATATTTACAATCATCCTTGTACATATTCATATATATATTTATTAATATATTTTATTTTTGTATTTTAATAAATTTTTTGTATTCTTTTTTAGTTATATATATATACAAGCATTAGTCATAAGATTTTAAGTTTTTAATTATCTTATAATCTATTACATCAAAGTACAAATATTTTAAATACATAATATTTATAAAAAATTAATAAAGTTAAAAATAGTAATAATAATAACATTGACAAGAGAAAACAATAAATATATTGATAATAAAATAAGGTAAAATATATTTTTGGTCTCTTTTGTTCAATAATATGTAAATTTTAGTCTTTTTATTTTAAAATGACAATTTTTGCCCTTTTATTCATATAAAATATGTTTTTGGTCCATTTTATTAGCATCCGTATCAATTTTAATCTCTATATTATAAAAAAGGTAAATTAATCTTTTAGTCCCGTAACTGGCGACTTTCTCATTTTTTAGTCTCTAAACCCGGCGACAGGCGACGGTAGAAGCAGAGGCTAGACCTCCTCATTCCATTTTATCTCCTCCGATGCAGCGGCAGGCGGCATCGCCAACGGAGGCCCATGCCTCTCTTTCTTTTTTTTTTCTTATCCCGCGCAGTGGGAGCGACGGCGGGGCAACCATGCACTTTTAGTCATCCGGTGCCGGAGATGCCTATGTGGCACCCGCATGGCTCGTCGGAAGACACATGCCGCCAGGTCAGCAACACCTGGCGGACACGTCGATTTTTTAAAATTGTTTACAAAAATTTAATGGGTAAACTGTTTTTTAAGTCTCTTATCTGACCCCTATTATCATTTTAGGACTTTAAGTGGACCCTTTCTGAAAATAGTCCCATATGTAAACAAATTTCGCTAAAAAGGTCCTCCGGCACCGGATTTGCCACTCTGGCCCGCCGGCGCTGATGTGGCTGACATGTCAACGCCACATCAGCGCCACGTAATTTTATTATTATTTTTAATTAATTATGTTTATATTGACTTTGGTCAACATTGGATCAAATTGTAAAATTATATTTTACAATTTGATCCAATTGTACCAAAGTGCAAAGTGAATTCATGCTTGAAGATAGGCGCAGAGACGACGAACACACCCATTTCATCTTCCAATTACTCTCGCTTGCCCTAAAACATTCTCGTCGCGATTTTTCTCTCAACGAAATCAACGCCGCTGCCGCCGCCCGAGGAGCTGCCGGCGGATGACTTCTTCTCCCCCGCTTAAGTATCTCTATTTCCCTTGCTTCAATTTGCTTAGGGTTTACAGAATCTTCAAAAAATTGTAACAAATCGGGCAAAAAATTGAACTTTTGGAACTTTTCGAGAGGTTTAATAGTTCATTCCTTTAGAATCATTCACCAATTCGCCTGGTTTGAAAGTTTTATAGTTGATTTTCGAGTTCGAGTTTTATATTTGGGTTTCCAATGGGTTTTACGGCCGTGTTCTTTTTTTTTTTGAATAGATTGTTTTGTTTAATAACTTACTTAGGTATTTTAAGTTGTTAGCAAATTTGTATTCTAATTTTGTGATTTGTTTGGATTTCAGCTCAAGGAGACAACGTGGGTGTCCCTCAACCACCGGGACTAGGTGTGAATATCTACTATGGGGGTAATATATTTCGAACGCCTTCTCGTAAGTATGTTGGAGGGTATATGAGAACATTTCAAGATTTTACCGTAGAGGCTATTACCCTGGCAACATTACATTCTTGTGTTGCTAGTTGCGAACTTGAAAGGCAGTCCGAGTATACATTTGTTTTGATGCGTTGAAAAGGGCGTTCAAGGTCGGATGTAGACATTTGATTGGTGTGGATGGTTGCCATGTTAGGAGTTCATATGGAGGAGTCATACTTACAGCTGTTGGGGTTGATCCCAACTGTATATTCCCCATTGCGTATGCGGTAGTTGCTAGCGAGATAGTAGAGACCTGGACTTGGTTTTTGACGATCTTGAAAAGGGATTTGGATATAGGAAACCATAATGAGGTATGTTTTATATCCGACAAGAAAAAGGGACTTGTAAATGCATTAGAGAGTTTATTTCCAGGTATGGAGCATAGAAGTTGTGTACGACACTTACATAACAATTTCACGACAACGGGATTTAAGGGATTAGCGTTGAAGAATGGATTGTGGAAAGCTGCAAGGGCAGCAACTGTGGAAGAATTCAAGACAACAATGTTGGAGCTTAAGAAGATTGTTGAAAAAGGTTGCGAATGGTTGGAAAATCGGCCGGCAAATGAATGGAGTAGGTCACATTTTAAGTGTCTGTCGAAGTGTGACTTGCTTGTGAATAACCTATGTGATAGTTTCAACAGATGTATTACCGATGCCAGGGACAAACATATTTTGAGCATGTTGGAATCGATTCGGGAGTACTTGATGCAGAGGCTTCAAACAAAGAGGGATTATGCCCGGAGGCGGTGGACTGATAAAGTCATATGTCCAAGGATTATGAAAGTACTTTCTAGGAATTGAGCTAAGGTAGGTGATTGTATCATGTTGAAATCTGATGATACACATTATCAAATTTCCTATTTTGATGGTAGTCAGCACTGTGTGGACTTGTCTGCTCGGAGCTGCACGTGTAGGAGATGGCAGCTGATTGGAATCCCTTGCCACCATGCCATTTCAGCAATCAGCAACCAAGGAGATGATTTAATAAATTATGTTGAGCAAGTATACTCTGTTGAAACATACAATCGAGTTTACACCTTCTCCATCAAAGTTGTTAGCAGTGAAAATTTTTGGGAGCCAACCAACTTCGTACCACCTAAGCCACCACCAATCAAAAAAAACGTTGGTAGGCCGAAGAAGCTGAGGAAACGGGAATTTGGAGAAGACAAGAAGAAGGTTAAGGGAAAAGATGGTACTCAGAGGCTGAAACGGAAACCAAAAATCAATAAAATATGGGACTTTTCGAGAAGTTGGCCACAATGCACATTATTGCCCCCAAAATGTCGATAAATGGATTGTTGAAACTGTGGTTGTTCAGGTATTCGCATTATTTCAGATCTGCTTTTTTAATACTACTAGCTATTAATTGCTAATAATTGTTTTTGTTTTAGGCCCCAGTGCCACTACGAAAGGGAAACGCAATACACCTGCAAGTTCCATCCAACCGAGGCATAGTGTAAGTTTCATTTATTTTAGGTTGTTCACATCTCTAATGATAATTGTGAATTATTTTTTGGGTTTTTTTAGCTTCGGTTGCAGTCAAATAGTGAGGGGCCACAAGAACAAGCTGTTTCAATGGAGTACAGTCGGACAGTTGGTCCGGAGATTCTCACACAAAATTCACAATCAATCCCCACGGCGAATAGTCGGTTGCAAGTAAATTATTCAATTCTCACACAAAATTCACAATCATTCTCCAAATGATTTATTTGTCATGTCTAAAAGAGTTACTCATCTATCTAAATTTGTGTGACCTGTGTTGAATAGGATCCTCATGATTTTCCATGTCATATTCCACGTCCTTCGAAACGACTACAACAGAAGAGAAACATCACTCAAGCATTAAGCACATGTCAAGACGACTGCCAACCCACTTTGCAAGATGACTGCCAGCCCACAGAAGCAAGGCCACCGGTTTGTGTAACACAAGTCTGTTGTCACGTTTCAATTTCATAATTCCTAAGCTAACTTTAATTATCTTATGCTAGCAGAGTACGCTAAAGGGCAAGGAACTAGCGGAGGCAGCTCCAATAAAGCCTTCACATGGCCCTCCAATGTTTGAACAAGGTGACTTTGGCGGTAAAAAATCAAAGAAGGAGATCCAATTACCACTTTTAGAAATGCCAGCAACTGTACGGGCAATAGAATTGAGACGACTGATTAAGGAGAACGAAAAGTTCCTTGGGGATGACAAACCACGAAGGTGAGGATGACCGAAGAAAAACGTATAATTTTATTGCTAACTGTGCGCAAGTTGTGGTTGATGACACATGAATGCGTGGTTAAACAGGGACTTAATTTTGGGTTTCATTTTCGGGAACTGCATTTTGTGTTGATGCTCAACTTTTTTTGTTCGAAAGTGGGCAAAATATTTAATATGATATGTTAGGCTAACTTTTTTATGTTGGTATTTGGTATACGAAACATTACTTAGGAAACTTTTGGCTATGTTAATATATCTTTAATTAATATCTTATTTGGCAGAATCTGCATGCCTCCATTTAACAACTCATTTTAAATAATATGAGGCGTCCAATTTTATTGAATTGTGCAATGTGTGTTTTCTCTGCATTAGTTATACAAAATCATAAACAAATTTAAACACCAAAATTAGCACAAAATTTTCAGCTCACATAATCAAATCTTAATCAGAACTAACAATACTATCCAATATATAAAACTTTTCAAACAAAAATCACATTACAATAATTGACATTTATTGAAGCTTCAAATTTTTCTAAAAATCCGAATCACAAATATCACACAAATATCACCATAAGCAAACTTTCTTATGAAACCATGATCATTCAAAACAAATAGTCTTATTACGTCATTATAACGCACTATAAGAAAAAATCATTTTTGTAACAAAATATTTTTGTCTCTAAATCTACTTTTTCCGTTACTAATGACATTAGAGACGGAATTAGGAATGGAATTACGTTAGCTACATGAACTTTAGGGACGGAATTCCGTTACAAATATATTATTTTTTTGTAGTGACGTATTACAAAGTTAGTTAGAAAAACACTTTAGTAGAGTAGTGCAACATAAAACGGGACAAGCAAAAGTTAACAACATACAATACTAGACATAAAATACAAGAAGTCTATTACATTGCCTCAACAGGCTTCCATTTTTTTCATCATATTTGAAGTCAAACCTTCAAAACATAGCCGCAGATCGTCGTACTAAAATAACAACTACCGACAATGATCCTAAGTAACATTTGGTTATGCTCCTTCAACCTCAAGATTTCCGAATCTTTGTCATTTAATTTCCTCAGCAAGCAGGGAATAATGGCCTTGGTACGTGCACACATTGGGGGATCTTCCTAGGAAAAGTATCCGCACCCACCTTTTCCACCTCACTGATAATGAAATACAAAGAAACTAAATAACACTCGAGCTACATAACTTAAACAAAATTAAATCATTTTTTCATACTTACATGATATTGCCCGCAAGAATTAATCCTGCGTCCCGGATTTTCATTTGTCCACGATGTTCTAACGACACTCCGACGTCCACACAAACACTCAGTGATGCCGGTTGTGGTTGATGAAGTTGACATTCTGGGAAAATTATTGAAAATCACTATGATTACAATATAATGACACTCCGCCGTACACAAAATCCATATATTTATCTATTTATCTATCTGCAAGAAATATGTAACTAAAATGCAACTACTAGCCATTTTTTATTTTCGATAGCCAAAACATAAGGTAATTTGCTAAATTCGAACAAAACAAAACAAAATTTGAAAGCTACTCAATTAAGACACATCAAAAAACTCAACAACCTAAAGTAAATTACAAAATTCGCCTAAATTTGTTATATATGAAAGAACACGACTGTAAATCCACTGGAAACCCAAATATAAAATTCGAACTCAAAAATCAACTATAAAACTTTCAAACCGGGCGATTGGGTGAATGATTCTAAAGGAATGAACTATTAAACCTCTCGAAAAGTTCCAAAAGTTCAATTTTTTTGCCTGATTTGTTACAATTTTTTAAAAATTCTGTGAACCCTAAACAAATTGAAGCAAGGGAAATAGAGATACTTACGCAGGGGAGAAGAAGTCATCCGCCTGCAGCTCCTTGGGCGGCGGTAGCGGCGTCGATTTCGTTGAGAGAAGAATCGCAATGAGAATGTTTTAAGGCAAGTGAGAGTAATTGGAAGAGGAAATGGGTGTGTTCGTCGTCTCTGCGTCTATCTTCAAGGCATGAATTCACTTTGCACTTTGGTACAATTGGATCAAATTGTAAAATTATATTTTACAATTTGGTCCAATGTTGAACAAAGTCAATATAAACATAATTAATTAAAAAATAATAATAATATTACATGGCGCTGACGTGGCATCGACGTGGCATTGACATGTCAGCCAAGTCAACGCCACGTCAGCGCCGGCGGGCCAATGTGGCAAATCCGGTGCCGGAGGACCTTTTTAGCGAAATTTGTTTACTTACGGGACTATTTTCAGATATGGTCCACTTAAAGTTCTAAAATGATAAGAGGGGTCAGATACGGGACTAAAAAAACAGTTTACCCAAATTTAATTTATCTATTTTTTCTTATTTAAAATAAATTAAAAATTTTCAAAAAAATTTGAAAACAAAAAAAATTAAAAATCCACATGTCCAAGTGTCGCTGACCTGATGGACACGTGTCTTCCGGTGAGCCACATGGGTACCACGTAGGCATCTCCGGCACCAGAGGATTAAAATTGCAAGAATTTCTCACTTACGGGACTAGTTTGCAATATACTCCACTTACGAGACTAAAATGATAAATAAGTCAAGTTACGAGACTAAAAATTCAGTTTACCTTTATTAAAATGATGCTTTTGATTCATTATATTTTTATTTGTGTTAATTTTAGTTCTTTTATTTTTAAAATGACAATTTTGATCCCTTGTCCATTAATATAATTCATATTTGGTTTATAATTATTATATTTGTTTAAGAAAATATAAATAAACTTTATCATATGAATTGTTACCGAAACATACTTTCCTTAAAAATTATTTTATAAAAATTACTCTCCTTATAGTACCTATTTACAAAAAAATATATATTACTACATTTATTATCATGCTTTTACAAAAAGACTTTTTCATTTTCAGACGCTAGTATTTTAATTAAGACAATTAACTTGAAGCTCTGCTATTTAGAAGAATGGTTTTAAATTTAGGGGATGCATTTAATTGAGATTTTAATTGATTTTTTTGAATTTTAAAAAGTCTACGAATTTATGTGAATTTAAAAAATATAAAGTCTATACTGAGTTTGGTGGATTTTAGTAATTGATTTAGATGGATTTCTAAATATTTGATTAAATTCTTTATGAATTTATATGGATTTTGTAGGATTATAAAATATTTTTTTATGAATATATATTAATTATATCAATTTATATCAAACACAAATTTTATAAATATAATATATAATTATTAATAAAATAAATTTTAATATTAATAAATAATATATAATATTAATAATGTAGAAGTATTGTAACATCTCTACCCTACTATATTGTAAAGTATTGTAACATCTCTACCATTCAATATATCAAAATTAGCTTTATATTTCTTTATTTGTTATTATTATTACTATTATTATTATTATTTACATAACTTTTTTACATAAAAAATAAATACGTATATAAATAAAAAAAAATATAATTTACAATTTTTGATAAAATATTAAAATAAATAAATAAATAAATAAATTTAAATTAATGGTTCAACAAAAAATATATTTTTAAATATCTATTTCACCGTAATCGGAATGATAATATATAGTGTATTCGATAATTGAAAAAAAAAAAAATTACACCGAAATGATAATATATTATATTCGATAATTGAAAAGAAAAGACGACAGTAATACATATTTATTATAATAATAATATTTTTTAAATTTATATTTATAATATAAAAATATATATTTTAAAAAAATTCATAATATTTTGCTAATATATTTTAGTTTTAAATTATTATTTTTATTAAAATTAATAATACTATTAATAAATATTATCATATTATTTATCACATATACAACAACAATAATAATAATAATTTTAAAAATCTATCAAAATCTCTAGTGATCACGAGAGATTCTATGATATAGATATTTTTCACGATTTTTCATTAAAATCCCTAAACTTTGAAAGTATATGGATTGTTAGATATCTTAAGATTTTAAAAGACTTTAAAAAGTCTGTATTAAATACCTCAAGATTTTTTAAAAGACTTTTAAAAATTTGGATTGAATACCTCACTTTTAAAAAGATTTTTGAAAAGATTTTTAAAAGACTTTGATTGAATACACCTAAATTTTAAAAATCCAATAAAATCCTATAGAATTTAGATTGAATACAGCCCCTTAGTGTTTAAATTTATTTTAAAATGACTTGATTGAAAGAAATATTTGTGCAAAAATATTAAAAAATAATATAAATTAATTTAAATTTTAAATAAGAAAACTTTCGAATGAAAAACATACATTACATAGGTCATAAAAAATAGGCTAAAACTTTTTGACACAAATGTTAATGCAGTGTGTATTTCTTTTTTTCTTTTATCTTTTATTAGTATTTTATGATATAAAGGTAATGATATTTGTGTAATATATTGTAAATTGAAAGGGTATTTGTAATGTTAGGTAGATAGTAAGTACAGTTACTAAAGAAAAAAAAATGAATACTTAGATGGACCAAAATAAAAAAATGGATAGTTAAATAAGAAAAAAGAAAATATGATTTTTAATTAAAAATTAAAATAATCATAGATATAAACAAAAAGAAAAGTGATCGTATTTTTATTTTTATATTACGAAGGGAGTACTAATTATATTTATTAATGTTTAAAGGAAACAATAATTAATTATTAAAATTAAACTATTTAAATTTATAAGAAACCAAAATTTTTATTTTAAAATAGAGAGACTAAAATTAAATGAATATATTGTATTAAAATATCATTTTAAAAAAAATGTTTAAAGGAAACAATAATTAATTATTAAAATTAAACTATTTAAATTTATAAGAAACCAAAATTTTTATTTTAAAATAGAGAGGCTAAAATTAAATGAATATACTGTACTAAAATATCATTTTAAAAAAAAAACTAAAAAAGACACAAATATGAATAAACGAGATAAAAAAAAAAAAACACATTTTGCCCTAATAAAATACTAAGATGAATAGATATCATATATATCTATATATATATATATATCTTTTAACATATATATATATGACTAGTGGTACGGATGACTACCTATATTACGTAAATGTCTTTAATAGTGTAACATTTGTTATTTTGAACAGTTGTACGAAGTAGTAATATTGTAGGCAACTATGGCTAAATTTGTCAATTAACCCATGCATTGTCAGTTATATTGAGGATATTAGGTGTCGTTGAGGGTTGTGTTTTTCTAATTCCATTTGCTATTTTGTAGTAATTTACTTGTACAAAATATATTGATATGAATATCATTTTGTAAATCATAACATTTTCTTTAATACAATAACTTAGTTATAACATTCTAATGCTATGATATATAAATAAATGCATTTGAAACTAATGCAGGGGTTTTTGAATTTGTTGGGCACGCAAAACAAAAAATATTTGAGTCCGACTGGACGGCCGAGCTTACAGAAAAGAAAGACATTCGAATTTGAGCTTGAAAGCAGTCTCAAAGTGGTAACCGACCAATTCCGTCAACCGTTTCCTTTTTGTTTCAAAATATCTATATTTATATTCTTTATTTATTTAAATTTATATATTCATATTTATATAATGAAATTTTAAAAATTTACTTAGAAATTTTAAATATATATACATGGACAATAATTTTTTTAATAATATAGAAAAAATAAACTAAAAAAATATAATATCAAAAAATATTTTTGAAAAAAAAAATTATTATTTTAAAAATTTGTTGGTTGCACTGTTATAAAAAAAAATGATTTATATAATTAATTCTATTTTTTTCTTTCTTTTCATCCGACCAATTCGGTCAACAACTTCCTTTTTGTTTCAAAAAATATCTATACTTATATTCTTTATTTATTTAAATTTATATATTCATATTCATATTCATATTCATATAATATAATGTTTAAAGTTTAATTAGAAATTAGAAATATATCAATATATATTATTTTGTTAAAAATAATTTTTTTAATAATATAGAAAAAAAATTAAGTAAAGAAAATTATAATATAAAAAAATATTTTAAAAAAAAAAAAAAATTTTTTAAATCGGTTGGTTGCACAGTTACAAAATATATATATTTATATAATTCATTATATTTCTTTCTATCTCATTTCCATCACAACCCACTGTACGGTTTTACTTATTCCATCCGACTAATTTAGTTACTTTCTTTCATCTTTCCATCCCAACGACAGGACGGTTTTTCTCCTTCCATTCAACCAATTATATCATACACTTCTTTTTGTTTTTTTTTCTCTCTTCTGTATTCTCTTATTATCTCTCATAATGGTTTATTTATTTAAATTTATATATTCATATTCATATAATGTAATCTTTAAAATTTTAATTAGAAATTAGAAATATATCAATATATATATTTGTTGAGCGAGAAAAACCAATGTGTAGGGTTTTCGAAAATGGGCTTGTAAATTGGGCCATGGATTGGTATATGATTCGATGGGTCTGCCAATTGTATTAAGGCCCAACGATCAAGGCGTTACTAATAAATGGGCTTCTTTGAGAGGACCTTCGACTAGGTGGTCAGTTGATACGGAGGTCGGGCAAAGGAAAAAGAGACAGTAGGCGTTTAGGTCGGTTGGTGTGGAGGTAGGACAAAGGGAAATCGGGTGAAGGAAGATAAGGCGGTGGTGTTTTTTTCTGTCGATAGGAGATCAGACAAGTGGAAGTCGGGCGAAGGAAGACGAGGCGGTGGATGTTCAGGTCGGTTGGTTAAATGGGACGGTTGAATAGCAGTTTTGAAGCGGTTGGAAGAAGTTACAACCGATGAGCGGATGTAGAGGCACGACCTGATAACGACATTGGGGCGGTTGACATAGGTTTTTAAATAGGCCTTTTCACGACCTGAAAAGAGGCATCTTCAATTGAATCAAATTCAGTGAAATTTCTTTTGGGGATCATCCTTTTACTTTTCCAATCTTTAGTGTTCTTTTCAATTTCTTTATGTATCGTACGGT